ACGTTGCAAAATCTTCGTCACCACCACTCAATTTGGCGTTGTTAAGAATTACATCACGACGAACAACTTGGTGTGCCAACTCGTGATCCGGATGGCAACACTGTGTTGCAACCCGATGCAACTTGCGTGACGTAATGACCTCCGATGCGTAATTTTCGTTGCTTTGAATAATATGAAGATCACGCGAAAGGACACAGCGCTAACTCGAAAACAGCATAAATGAACCCGCTCTAGTTATATAAAGCAACACTAAGTAATAATGATGATAGTGTTTTGCAGATAGAATATTTTACCGAGACAATTTTTGGAAACTATTTCAATGCTAAATTCACGTTGTGTAGTGCGTGTCTTCGTGATAGCAATCTTCTTATAATATATGATTTATTTCTTTGGTTTTTTTCAACAGATGGCCAAATGAATTCATACATAGGGCAGTGGTAAAGAAAGAGGAAACGTTGTATATGTCATATTGGGAAATATGTTTCATAATTATAATTATCATATTGGTAATTATAATATATATTTTTATACGGCGCTTATTCAGGCCATTCTTTCCGAGCAAGGCTGTACGTTCACGTACATCTAAAGCTATTTTTATTTAGATCAATTTGTGTTTAGTATTCACTATATATTGGATAGGTAGGCATTTCAAGACATATTGTTGAATACGAACGTTTACATTCAGTGCTACAATCCACTTAAGTTTTCAAACAAATCTTAACCTGGTACACATACTACCCTCCGGTGTTCGCCATCTTGGTACGCATACTTCAGGAGTACCGAGAAAGCTACGTGCTAGACTGCGCCGTAAACTGCCTTGCTCGTGGCCCGTATGTGAAACTATTGGTTGCTGTTGAAAAACAACTGTTCACAGGGTCATGTTGTAGTAACGTAAGGCTAGACCTAACATTGGCAAACTACGGCCCGTGGGCCATATCCGGCCCGTAAGGTAATTCAATCTGGCCCGCCTGATGCTGCGACAACTAAACTGAAACTAGATTTTGATGTTGATGTTTTTCATGGAGAAATAATAGGCTATTTTGTCTTCCATAGTATGCAATACAGTCATTCGTTAACACGCACTTTATGAAAGCTAAAGTTAAACAAGAAGATCAGTTAATTGTGTTGATTATAGCGGTAGTCGTGAAATTGCAGTTACATGATAGCCAATTTCAGCTGAATCAGACGAATGCTGATTGAAGAGGTTTCAATGACGCACGGAAGTCAAAGCTTTTCACTTCAGTTAAGGAAAAACGTTTATGCCTGTTTTGGTATTCATCTTTGGCTGTCAATATGGCTTACAACGTTATGGGTCAATTTGTAAAAATGCATTACAGATTTTCATTGAACGTGAAACGTCGTTAATAGAGGCACATAAAAATACTTTCCATTCTATTACCAGTAGCTAGCTGTTGGCCAAGAGCAGATGCGACGGACATAGCACAGCTCGCATTTTCTGTTTGCGCAATGCCCCGGACATTACAAAAGAGTTTGTTCAACCCGTTCTCGTAATGTTTTGCATTTCAAAATGGCATTTTAAATTAGCAGTTGTGACATACACGGATTGGACCTGCAGCCAGTATGTTCCCCAGCTTTTAATTTTTGGGGGGGTGTTTCGAAATTTAGGGGTGGTAAATAATTTGCTATTAGCGATGAAACTATTTGTATTCTCAAATATTGGTATGTATTTAAGAAACGATGTACATGAGGGGGTCCCCCGAGTTGATTGTCGGCGAGCCAAAATACACAGCAGGATAAAATTGTAGGGCCAGAAAAGGGGAGCGAGGAAAAGTGCGCGACGATACGGCTGGGGTTCAGGGCGCGCTTAAGCGGCCTGAGAAAATTTTGAGAAATAGGCACCAAAATAGGTTCTAAGCTTGATTTTAGATACACCTAGCATCGCAGTTTGTTATGTAATGAAATTAATAATTATAATATTTAGCTGATAGAATTCCCGAGGAATAAATACCAAGCACGGCTTTAAGCAAGTAATTTACAACTTATAGTGACTGATGAAGTTACTTGCTCATTTAGCATATGGCATCGTATGATTGGCTACTTATGGCTTGTTTTGTTACACATTTCACATTTTTTTGAAAAAAGTGTTTGTTTGATTTTTGTACGAATCAAGCAATGAATTAAATTTTGAAATACGCGCGTCAACTGATCATAAAGGCGCATAATGTTGTATTCCTTCTGAACTGAAATATTTTGTTGGCAAGGAAGACAAATCGCTGAAGTTTGATTTTTTACAATAAAGAAATAAAAACACTGCCATTCATCTAAAAAATGTCTGTTTTCAGTGCCTACTTTTTGTTTTGTGACATCTTTAAGCTTTCTTAATATATGGCTAATATGGTATCTAAAATACTGCGGTGTGTAATCCTAATACCCATACGTATACATAATATACCGGTATAATTCAATTGTTACGAAATAAAAGTGCTTAAACTGTGATAATGATGTAACGATAGACGGAATCTAAAACTCAAACGTACCACATGAAGTGTTAAACTATTTCACTCAAGTTCGTAATCGTTACGCGGGCCGTAATTGGCCCGCGGGCTGCGGTTTGGAACCCCTCATCTACACTGATACATATTCCATAGTCGTTATATTTGAATACAATTATAATTGAGTCAGGAATTACAGTGTGGACTGTGGAATCAATCGCACATGGGAATAACAGTGTCGAATCGCACTTCAAAATTAGGGGGGGTGTTTGAAATTTTAGGGGGGGTGTTCACCCCCTATAGGGGGGGGGGGGGGGGGGTGTAGGGAAATCACTGCCTGCAGCTCTGAAGAAAACACCAGTACCAGAGACAAATAAAGTCATGGTTCTGGTAGTGCTGCCAAATAGGCTATAGAAAGAAAGGACACCCACATAACCAATGCCCAAACACATTGACACGAGGACCAAAATGAAGTAGCATCAAATCTTCTACACTAGACTACGGGTAGTCTGCCTTATCAAAAACGCGCGGAGAATTGGGGAATTTGATATGAACGATCTAGGAAATTATTATAAAGTTATTACTGTTTGTATCGATATTCTTGTGTAAATCAGGTTTCAGGCCAAGTATTGTGCGAGATGTGACGCAACATCAGATCTTTCATTTGGCTATACGAATTTTCGAAAGACAAACATTTAACCCCAAAATACGCTGAAGATACTTTGTCGTCTGAACTAAACATATTGCATCAAGTTTCGGAAACACTGGTCTCTAGATCTAAAGTTAGGGTGGTAAATGTCATAGACAGGCGATTTCAAAAAGAATAGAGGTAAATGAAGAAAAGGGCGGTGGAATTCCCCCTAAGCCTAAGGAATCGCTGAGATGTTTCCACTGGTGTCGAAATCGCATTTACGTGTTATATAAATAGTTCATGAGTCATCGAACTACAGAGGATAATTCATCCTGTCCGCCGCAGTTTGCTTTGAAATAGGAAAGTTTGAGGACATCTGTGAAAGAAGACCTGACTTTTCCAACTTGTACTTATTTTTTTGCGAAATTTATACGGTCCGCGACAATACAATAGTATTCAACGAAAACGCGCGGTTATGTTAATTAATGACGCTTTTATCCCGACTATGATCCCAAAGAATACGCTTTAATTGAATAAAGTACAAAATGGTTGAACATATATTACATTTTATTTTATCCGGATTAAAATTGTTGCGGTAATTTTAATTAGGCTCGTTTGAAATCGGCAGGTGGTAAAAGGGCGCATTGCGCACGAAATTGCGTTTTCGATTTTCAATGCGTACGTTTTTTGTTGATAACAAAGCATGACGCTAAATATCTTCGATTCACACCAACTGAAATAGCGTTTATACATTTTATTTTTTGTTGTTGTGGAGATCCCAAATGAACATTTATTACGCTTTTTTCGTTTCCATTTTAGTGTGCATGATATCATCTTCAATTTTAAATAAGCATCCGAATTCTTGAGCAGTTTGTCGTTCACTTTACGGTAGAAGGGTAGATTTACGAGCAGAGTTTAGACGGCTACTCTGCATAAGGGCTAGAAAGGACCAATATGTTAACAGATATTTGCCTCACCATTATAAAGGCTGATCCTTTCCATTTTCTGGTTTTCTATTGTCAATCGATATATTTTTCTGCTTAAGCTACCAGGATCGGGTGATCTCGTCCAAAATCGTGTACTTACACCATGGTAATTGTGACAAATTGTTAAATTTTATTTATACAGCTATTGCGAGGCTCCCCTGACACGTAGACCAAATGGTCATAACGCAGTTATTCCATTCATTCCGGACAAAATATACAGGTTGCGCCAAACAAAGGTTACCATTTTTACATCCAGAATGTAAATAATGGTAACATTTTTATGGCCCACCCTGTATATAAATAAATTTTCATATTTCCCTTTTTTTATTGTGCTTTTTTGCATGAATGGCTAAACAGAAAGTTTTTACTACAGTGTTGAACTATAGTTAAAACATGTTAGCCTTACCAATGATTTCACAAACTGTTGGGGTTATTGGTATTTCAATCGTGTATTTCAGTACTTAAATATTTTGAGCGGTATCTGTTGAAGGCAAGTGATGTGGTTTCAATGCAATGAGAAATTTGATCTTATTCGATACATACACAATATATTAAATTCTGCGAGGTTTCGCAGTATTTTTTTCAAGCGCAATGCCCGGGCGAAATATTTGGCAAATACTTCCCAGCGCCCGAAGAACCATCGTGGGTTTTGTGTTATCAAACGATCGAGTGACTCCATAACGGAGCTTTATCTGCCAATTAGGACAGTATCTTCAAAATAGCAAAGAGGGATAAATAGTTGATTAGTTAGATCGCCTCATTTTGAAAGAATTAAACAAATTGTCGACGGAGGGAGGTCATGAGAATTGGAGGCATGTAAATTAAAGATCTTAATAGGTACGAATTTTTTTTTAAATCACGAGTAAATATTCTCGAATTTAGACTTGTCCTGTTCCCTTCGCATACGCGAAAGCAGTATATGAGAATTATTCCGATTAAAATATTTATTGCTAACTAGAACTTCAATATGATCATTTTGAAGAGGGTAATAGTATCAAAAACTTCGATTTGTATAAAGTTCTCATTCTCGAATATGATTGAATATTCATAAATGCATAGAAAGCACCCAAATCAGTTATCACTCTTTGAGAATTGCATAACTCTAGAACAAATTAAAATGGAATTCATAAAATCACTTTTGGACTTTGAATGTTGTGTCTTCTCCCCCTGAGAAATATTTTATTGTAATATGAGTCTTGTAAATTGCCTGAGCCCTAAATTTACAGCAATATTGTACATGCATCATTACAAATTTCGAAGTTATCTTCACAAGGGTCCGTCTTCGTCAAATAAGCACTACAATTAAAAAAAATATTCGGTAATACGTTTATCACATAATTCTGTATGTAATATCAGGAATTGAGTGTCGATTGAATTTGCCAAACAAGTGTTTGTGACTGATAAATCGAGTAAAAAAAATAAATATCATAAGACATTGGTCTTGTTGAATAACTTTATATATGTGAGACATTAGCCATGGAAAAATCACAAAAACAAAATCTGCAAATATATCCTAATTATCTTACAAAAAAGTTACCTTGGCAAGAAATGAATCAGGTTCTCTTATCTGTTCTATTGGCTCAAAGTGATCAAGGCCTGGTATTTCGAAGTATTTGGAGTCGATTGAATTTTTCTTTAAAGCCTGAAAAAAGCAGACAATCGAAAGTCAGATTTTCGCATAATGACTATTAGAAATGGCTGTTGTCTAACTGCTACTTACTCGCGAAGCCGTCGATTTGAACCATGTGCTTGAAAGTGTTTATATATTACAACCCTATGGCCTTTTTGGAATGAGTCAAATTACAAATTGAGACCATACTTAATCATTTCGTTGCTACTTTATATGTTTTCATACTTACTTCGGCATATTCTCCGGACTTCTTTTTTAACACTGGTGGGTCATGTTCTCCAACCACAGATAGCACTTTAGTTCCAAATATTTTCATGTTATGAACAGAATTTTCAATTTGTTGAAGTGGACTCAAGTTTGTAATTTCGTCGCTGCAAACAAACATATTTACAAAAATACGGAATACAAATCACAAATCTTGTCTATGAGAATATACTATTAACAGAAACGATACGTGAATATATTATAAGCAATTTATCTACAAACCTGTCTTTTTAAATTTCTTGGTATAAACTGACAAACGGAATTGAACTGATTCAACCTAATTGCAGTTAGTTTCAAATTTCTGGCCTTTGTCAAACACTCTTATAGAAACATTTTTCGATTCAACCTAATTGCAGTTAGTTTCAAATTTCTGGCCTTTGTCAAACACTCTTGTAGAAACATTTTTCGATTCAACCTAATTGCAGTTAGTTTCAAATTTCTGGCCTTTGTCAAGCACTCTTATAGAAACATTTTTCGCTGATTTATTATAAATTGTTACTGTGGTATTACTTACTCTGTCAAATGTAGATATGAATTGTAGCTAATATGAACGACTGGCCTCAAGTCAAGTACCGGAGCCAAAGATACAAGTCTTTTAATTGGAATTAATTTTTCTCCAGACGTATTATACTCTTTCCAGTTTGTAGCCATGAGCATTGACCCCAAATGACCTCCAGCTGAATGACCCAATAAAGTAATACTGGGGCATTTTGTATATCTTCTTGATAGAAACAAATAAGCATCTCGAATTTCGTTGACAATTGTGGTCAGAGAAACTGCAAAATAAACAAATACAAGACTAAATGGCAAGAAGCGTTTGATATGCGCAAAACTTAAGCCTCTGCTGTCTCCGTACTCCTCTTGAGAATTAGAGCGACCGCTCCTCCAATTTAAATAGCCGTACGACTCACCGTCTGGTGCTTGATCATACCCCACAATGATTCCTATAAATCCTCTTTTGGCTGCAGGTTCGGCACAAATAAGGTATATCTCCCGACTTAAATGGAAAGGAATATGTAAACGTAAAGACTATTAATCGTTTACTGTGAAATTACGTATAAGCACAATATTATACTTACTCTGATTCGACCCAGTATCCACCGTGCAAGAAGATCATAATTGGGGCATCTGTAAAAACAAACTATATTGGGAAAGATTCACAGAGAATGGTAGCGAAGTGTTCCTGAGATGGTGACTTTAGCAGTCTATTTTTATTTTTTCATGGATTAGCAATTCCTTGTAGGGATAGATAGAATTCAATACATATATGATTGACTGTTTTGTGGAATATGCGAAGTTGAGCGGTTTTCAGTCAGTGTTAAATTTTTAGTATGTTTCTTGATTTAGTTACTAAAAGTTGATAGATATTTGTTATATTTACCTTCCTTCACTTCCGGGTCCCGTAAAATTTCAAAGATTTGTTTTTGACCCTTTCCATATCGCACGACCTCTACCCAGTCTTTCAATACATCCCGTAGGTCACTGGATTCTTTGGTTAAGTACGTCAAAAATATTTGTTCGCATTGGTGCCGCTTAGACCATTTACTTGGCATATACATGTGATCTATTTCCGGGTCAAATTTCTGATCCAAATGCAATTTATAATATTTAAATACACGCTGGATATTGATCTTTGCTATAAAAGCTGACTTTGCTACATTAACGTTATTCAGCCCATACGTGTCTCACATAACTTGATCATTGCTGAATTATTTTATATGCAATGTAAAACAAAGGGGCTTAGCTGTAATAGTCACTCTCAGATAACAATATACGAATATTTGCTGAAATACAACGAAACGTACAAAAGTATGTACCGGTTTTAAAAAAGCAAACAACCAAGTGTGTAATAAAAAAAAGTACAATACAAATTCAAAATAGTTAATATCAAACTAGTCATACCAGCCAGGTAGCAGTATACACAACAATAAATTGATTACTCACCTGATTATCCCCGTGTATCATTTCAGTTCTTTTGAAACAGGTATACTTCAGAACAAATTTTTACTGTCGACGCGGTTGTGTTGTGTGGCTGACTACTTGCTTTGGTTTGAATGTTTTACCATCGTCACCCAATATGGCTGACTACTTAATGCGGTTTGAATAGTTTGCACAAGCATTGATTGTATGGCTGCATTCGCCGTCTGACTAAACAAAAGTGCCGACAAAAACGAAACTTTGTATGCAGCTACGGTTTGTCACTTCGTGACGCATTGTACCATGCATTAAATGAGACACGACAATCGACAGCGTAATATGTCGAATACACGACGCGTAACGTAAATGCCTACGTAAATTCAAGTAATGCGTAAAGAGTAATGTGTTACGTGCTGTGATGTTAAAAAATCACTCCACGATAAAACCATACATATCCACTTCAGTGGATATTATTATACAGTTTATTATTATTAAAAATAAATCAATTGTAAATCTGCAAATAAAAAATTTATAGTTGATTATTTCCGTGACATTATATTTATTAAACCAGAATAAATTTACCCGCGAAAAAGCTGGGGTACTTTTCAAAGATCATATCGAGGAAATTGTTGGCATATTACATACCGGAGGCATTGCGTGAAATACAAACGACTTCATTTCTATTTTGGAAATAACGTTTTGCTGAATACTGAATTTTTTTTTGAAATGAGGTAACTTTGTAAATTTGGCAGCAATTCAAGGCATGTGATTGCGGGGCAATATTCCGTAATTAGTATTTTAAAAAGGTTGTGATTTTTATAAATCTATGGTTGCTAAACAATGTAGGCAAAGTATACTACCTAGTTTTTTGCAATTAGGGCTAGCTGTTGGGGTTTAACCGTATTGTGTTATGTAGTTTATTTCATGCGCCTCTGTATGCTACATTTGAGGTTGAAATTTGGTAATATCTTGATTCGTATTCCGATATTTCAATAAGCAGTAACCTGATATTGTTCAAACTGTTAAGTATTCGTACATTGCAGTGAACAATTAGAAATACGAGTAAACCGTGTCTGGAAAAGTATTCTCGTTTCAAGGAGGGATTCATATTCCAAATCTCACAAACGATGAACACAGCGAGTCACTTAATCGTTGCAATTCAGCTACTTTTATGTTTGTTACATTGCATAGTAACAGAAAAACAACAGACAACAGGTAATAATGGTAAGCCCCAGTTTTATTTAATAAACGCGGGGTAAAATAGCTCGAAACAGGCAATGTTATCGAACTTTGAAGTCACTAAGTACATAATCTCAGACACCTAATTTACTACATGTAACTAGTTTCGCAATTTTAAAATACCCATCCATGACTTCCGTTGTATATAATATTGTCAGATTTTTTGATATTCTAGAGCAGGGGAACTATAGCCAATTAAAAACGAGTACTGAATACCACGAAGTGTATTAAATTTTAGACAACATTACCAAACGATTGGGTTTCTACGAGACCAGCTCCGTCTTCTATGCTCTTGCGCCGGTGGATCCGTATGTATATAATGCAAGGATGCTGTTGCAAGAGTGAAGATAGCTATCCTAAACTATTCAAGAGTCTTGCTGCACATGTGATTTTGTATCACTTAGAACATTACCTAATTTTGTAAATATTTCGTATTTATGTAAATATTTATAAATTAAGAAATCAGTTGTGAACCTGTGGAATCCGTAATGTGCCAAAACATGGAATACAACTTCACCAGCTTCCCAACTGCTCGATTTAAAAGACAAGCTGACGCAGTACTAGAGTTACATCAATTTTATCCATTGGTTGAGGTATCTTAGTATTTATGATAAATATATATATCCATACACGAAATGATTTGCAGGCTTATATATATAGCTTGGTTTCGAAGCATTTGACACCAAGCAAAAATTTGTTTACATATTATAATAACATCAGCTTTTGAAAAGTATTCTTATTGCGAATGTTGACCTTGACAATGTTAAATTAATATTTACATACTGTTTTTTTTGCTTGATAGAGCAATATTAGAATGTTCTTTGTAGCCTACAATATTAGCTACCACTTGGTAACAACTATTTATATATAACTCACGTTTAGATAGGATGTTCAGAAAGCATTCAAGAGTTTCTCTGTTGAACCTATCTACCAGAATGTACGGCTAGCCACGAAGTGATTTACCCTTGCAGGTAATATAGTCATATATATATTTAATTCAGTTTGGTGCAGTGAAGGGTAAGCATAAATAATTAGAAAATAACTTAACCGACACAATGAGTTTGTTACGGGGCTTAGATTTGTTGTTGCGTAGCTATTTGAGTATATCTAAATATTAATATTTGCTTATTCCTTTTTAAAAAAATAAGTCATTGTTAAGGTAAAAACTGTTCAAGTAGTCTAAATTAGTATATTTGAGTTTATAAAATTTATTTATTCGAGCATATTCGATTTTTTACTTTTTTAAAAGCAAATTATTACGACACAAATTATTAACCTGATTTAAAAAATATGAATATAAGTTTAGAATTTCAAACCGTTTATATTTGAAACAAGCCTCTGAAATTTAAAAACGACTCAGGATTGAATATCGAGACACCTATTGTTTGTGGCAACTGTGCTTCAGTCTATCCCACCGAATGGTAAATCCTGCCCTGATCTTATACATTAGATTTTTGTTCTTTTTGGTACAGGTCTATGTGCGAAGAAGCTAAACCAGGCTGTGAAGACATAATGGAAAAATTCGGATTTTCGTGGCCGTCGGTTTTGTCATGTGAAAACTTTTCTGAAACTGTGAGTATTCTCTAAGTACTAGCATTAGTAAATATTTCGAACACGGCGCATACGCCAAAGTTGTAACTAATTTGAATTAAAATGTTTCCATCTTGTTTTATCCGAATACCATCAGCTTCAAGACGCGTTTGGTATAGTTACTTGCAATTTCGAATAAAAACGTGTCGCAATTGATTATTTGTGATTGTTTTTCAATAAACATCACGTCATTTTTTATTGGTATTTACCGCTCGATAGTTTTTGTTGTTTTATTAAAACTACTTAACGAAGTAAACTATTCTTTTTCTCGTGATCAGAATTGCAAAGCTCTCGATTCTCAACAATCTACTGCAAGACGTGAGTAAATTTGTTGGCCAATTGTTTCATATAGTTTTTTTCAGCAAATATGTGAATTCAATAATGTTTCCAATCTTGGTTTATCGTTTTTACGTTAAATTTACTATGTGGTGTGATTTGGAATGAATTTCAAACTATCTACTCAGAGTAGTTGATTGATTGTACCACGAAATGAAATACCATTTTGTATATAGCAACAACGTGTATTTTTGCGCAATTTCACATAACATCACACTTGATTTGAAATAAAAAAGGCAAAATAAAACCACAGGAAAAATTCCCGTGTGTTCTCTATGCCTGCACTGTTTAATGAATCTAAAAATTCTCATTTGCTGTGAAATTGACATTTAAAAAAAATATATTTTCATTGTATCCATTTCATTACTGTTTAAAATAAAAATATACAGCTATAAATTGTGAACCTATTGAATCCACTATGTGCCGAAACATGGGATACAACTTCACCAGCTTTCCAACTGCTAGGTTTGAACGGCAATCTGACGCAACACTGGAGCTGCATCAGTTTTATCCCTTAATACAGGTATTTCAGATGATCTTTATATTTAATTCATTGATAATGCAATGAAGTGGCAAAATCGTATGGTATTTATATTCACGTGTCGCTAAGAATCTGTTATAGAAGATTTGCCGTATATTGAGCTATTTTTATACCTAATTTTAGATATGTGCCACTGTAGAGCAATCCGTGTGAATATAGTCGTATACATATATATATACATAGTTTAATTTCAAAATATTTAGCAAAAGATGAAAAATAGTTGGTACATTTATATAATAGCATCAATATTTGACAAAGTGCTCTCATTACGCATGTCGATCTCGGTGATGTGAAATTCATATTTACATGCATTATGTGCCCTTGATGGAACTATTTGACTATATAGTTTATTTATGTATAACTCACTTTTAGATAGGATGTTCCAAATATCTTCAAGAGTTCCTCTGCTATTCCTATCTACCAGAATGTACGCCAACCCACGAAGTGATATATCCTTGCAGGTAAATTACGTCATATTTTTAATTCAGTAAAGTGCGATACAGGCAGAGGCATGTCTAGAGGCCGCAAAGAGAACACCAATTTTACACAAAGTACTATATCAATTGTACTTTTACAGACTCTTGATTCGAAATACAATTATTAGAAATAGTGATTAATAATAGTTTCTTCCGAACACTAGGGCTCATTTTTTGGGGATGTAGATGATAACGAGATTTTTTAATATACAAAATATGAATACCGGTTTTTATTTACTAATTTAATACCACGTTTTCATTTAAAATAACTGCTACATTTATATTATTGAGCATTCACATTTTAAAAAGTAGAAAAGATTTCTTTCTATCGACTAGGACTCAGTAGTTGTTGCCATGGTAAATAAAGCTTGTCTTATATAAATACGAAATCGCAAGGAGGATGGGGTGCGCAACGCTTTTTGAACCAAGGAAAAAGAATCTTTATCTACAGAAACCCGAATTTTCAGAATTAAACTTATTTATTATAACACCATCACTAAATTTTGCGACGGCCTAGCAGAATTGGAACGACGCACTTTCATGGGACTAAGTAAAAAAATGCGCTATCGACGAAGTCTTTTTTCGCTTCATATTATTAAAATCAGTTTTAAAATTCAGGCTTTTTTGGGGGAAACTTTTGGGGAAACACGGTAGAATCATCGCGCTTGCATACCAATGCATATTCTGATCGCAAGATCCGATTCGTGTGCTTGCATAACAACGCCGGGTTTAATAACGAAGCTAGCGGTTCCGGAAGGCGATTTGCTAAGTACGCCTCGAAACATATCACATATTTTATTATTCTAAATGTTTTATTTTTTCTCATTAATGAAAATGATGTGTATATGAATCAAATTCATTTTACCGTTCTCTGGTGTTTTCTTTCTGTTACGTGGGTATATTGTTACGTAACAGATACCCTGCATGCTGCAATTACGTAGGTCGCAGTTTATTCATTTCTGAACCGAGTTATCGTACATGAGTGAGTATTAAGTAATTTAAAGATAAAACTAGGCAGAGTTAAGAAAAAAAGTTAACCTTTTGCTTTTATTTCTTAGGCCTACATGTTTATAAACCTCAAAAGGCATAAAGTACATATTATCGAGGATGACAAAATTGTGTTTTATTTTGCGGCAGCATATTTTTCGTGGAGGTGCGCCATTAGTTTTTTCCCTGATAGTTTGGTGCGCACAAACCGCTGCCTTATGCTAAGTTTGATCAATAAGAGTGAACAATTCCGCATAAGGACCAGGCCCTCGGTGGCCAGACATCGTAATTCATCATTTAGGCCTACACAAACAAACATTGCGGCACGGCTGAACTTTTATGTCGCAAAAAGCATTCGCACCCAATATATCGAATAACGTTAATCTGAGTATATGTGTGTTTGTTTTTATTATTGAGTAGCCCTACTAGAAGTTAAGAATTAGCGGTGTCAATAAAATATCAAAAATGCATATTTCGAACTAATTAGCGTGAACACGGGCCGTGAAAAATTTTAAAATATATTTGGGAAGCCCTGATTTAAATAATAATAATACAAAAATTTCACGATTATTTGACATTTGATTATCATCATGTATAACCATGCACATCCATAATTTGTTTATCTCCCAAGTTATTTTGCAAGTTAAGTATAAAGGGCATCATTATCAGGAACACGCCCCGGGTAGCAGAAAAGTTTGACTCGCCCCCGAGTACAGGATAAGTATGAGTATTGGATGATTAATTTACTCGACATGATTTAAGAGAGTTTTTCTGAAATCTTGTATTTGTTCAGCGGAACACTTTTTAAGTCTTTTGTACAGGTCCATGTGCAAAGAAGCTAAACGATTCTGCTACAGCGCAATGCAGAGTTTCGGATTTACGTGGCCGTAGTCTTTGTCTTGTGAAAACTTTTCTGAGACAGTGAGTATTCCTTAAAAACGTTTATTGGTAAATATTTTGAATACGGAGCATTACAAATATATATAAATAAAGCAAATACCCAGGCTTGTCCATGGGACATTTTTTCTCTCTCATTCCTTATACATCCCATAGCAATTATGCCTGTCCCATCCCATGGGATTCCCATTATAATAATATTCAATAAAAATTGTTAAATTTAGGTTTAGCGTCCGACTTTGTTAACTGTATATTTCTTACTATGATGCATGTGTCCATCAGCCCCTTCACGAAGTATATTTGCAATGCTAAATATGTTTTGGTCTTCATAACTAACAAGAGGGCTATGCTCAAATATATGGACACGAAATCCATAACGAAATGTTTTACCATCATTTCCCCGAAAATCATACGGTTTTCGTGTCTCATGGGAAATACAAATGTGTGCTGTCCCATCCCATTCCCATGGACAAGCCTTCAAATACCCAAACCTGTGATTTCTTTTATAATTTGAAATGTTTTTATCTCGTTATGGTCGAATACTGTCCGTTTCAAGACTTGCAATTAAGAAAAATCGTAGTGATTGGTTTTTGGTATCAAATTATTTGGGATTACACCCTCACTGGTCTTAGTAGTACGCCCTTAGTAAATTACGTGAGCAAATGTATTTTATTTTATATTTTCAATAGAAATGTATCGAAACAAACCACAGAAAGGCGTAAGTAAATTTTAAACAATGTTCCATATCGTTTTCTCGTCAAATGTGTTATGTTATATCATATTTTCAATCATGGTTTGTGGTTGTTATATTAAGTTTGCTATGTAGACATGAATTTTACAACCAAATACCTAGAATGTGAAAAACTAGATGTTCCGATGTGCAAATACTTTGGCTACAATACTACAAGGACAATAATTGGGAATACGTCTTATGATACCTATCGTCAAAACTTGATAAAATGGATGGACAACCTCGCCAATCACGTGTCGGTGAGATAGCCATCATATACCTCCAATCTTTATTCATTTTTGGTGTAGGCCTATACATTTTATCATCAGAATATAGTTCATCTGCCTCGATAGACCATATCAAATCCACCAAAGTTTTTATAGACATCCACACGGTTGCTGAAATTTATTTTGTTCATGCATTTCAGGTTGAGTGCAGATACGTCCTCGAAAGATTCATCTGTTTGGCTTACTATTCGCCTTGTGGAATGGATCAACCATGCAGGTTTAAATTTTGAAATATTTGAAAACATAAACAGTTTTGATTGGTCATTGCTAAACTTTGAGCTTTATTTACCCATTTCGATGTTTAGATCATTCTGCAAAAAAGTCACCAAAGTGTGTTCGCCTGAAGAAATACCGACGATGAAATGGTTAATACACTGTAAAGATTTTCCTGTTGAAGTAATATGTTATAAACAACACGACTATTCTAACTGTATTATTTACATATTCGGCCCAGATATTTTAAACACAAAGAGATAATTGTATATGGAATTATTTGAAATAAATATTAATACTCAATCGTAATATGTTACTCTTCGGCATTAATTTTGGGGATAAATTAGATTTTCAAGCTTTCCATGTTTGAACACTTTTAGAGATACGTCTTGATGAAGTTTTCGGGAAAAAAATGTACTAAGAGCAACGAAGTAGTATTATTTGAAGATAGTCACACAAAACGTGAGTAATATTTGGGATTATCATCTCACATCATTCTGAAATACAATGCCTTCGCATATCTTTTTATTTATGACATATATTCTAAATCGACAACTGCAGCTAAACTCAATAGCTAAAACAATGCAGTCTGGCAAGAATGAGCAATGACTAAAAATTTTAGGAACTAAACTTGGGAACTTGTAAATTTTATTCTCTTTGTATTTCCACGTTTTCAGGACTGATGGAAACTAAAAGACTTGCCAAAATGGCAAAAACGGACGCCGATTTTATTAACAAGGTTATAGATAGATTGGAAACATATGCCAATCGAATTGACGAAAACACGAACTTTGTAGATTCGGGACCAATTAAAGCTATCATATTTGACGGATTACGAAGCTCTATTGCTGGTAAGCTTAATCTTGTGTTTCATTACATAATATGTAACTCATAGTAAGAATTTTCCACCATTGGGTTTCCACTTTGGTATGCGATTGAGATTGTGGTAAACAAGTGAGATGGCTCACAAAAATAGAATCTTCTATTCCATCGAGTGCGCCAATTGGTATCAGAACAATATCATTGAATTCATCCCGGAACTTATGATTAGGAGAATTTTATATCATTTTTGTATTTTGTGTTCTCGAAGACGATACACAAATCATCCGTTGAGGTCGCGGGGCCATCTACCCACATCCCAAGTTCCATTTAACTTTTTTTGTCCTTTACCGAAATAACAAACAATCTATTGAGTTCGAGTTTTCTCAACTTTATATTTTATAACAGGTTTGAGAAGCAATGCACATCTGATGTCAACATTTCTGAATTTGATTGAAAATTGAAAACTTAACAATATGCGTGAAACGGCATACTTCCTAATAGGCTTGCACGTAATTGACAAAAATCAATTCCGTAATTACGGCCAACTTGATTACGTAATGACCCCGTAATTGCGATATTTTTTTCACACATTTAAACCTATCATAACAACCAATTTAGTCCACTTCTATTCCGAATGGGACATCGAAGTTTGGTTTTCATATTCCCGGCAGTACTTCACGCCGGCGACAGATGTTAAAGACAAATATCAAGGAGTGAATTCAAAATAATTTTATTCGGATTTTTATCTTTTGTATTAGCTTTGATTTTTTTTAACCACTTTATCACCAAATTTTATGCGATCAATTTTATCATTACCAACACTGGTAATATATTCAAGAAACGATAGTTCACTTTTTTAAAATCGTATTAACGTATTAATACGACTTTCGTATCAAATAAAAATTCTGGGTTGCTAATTTATTAATCAGCTACAAGCGTATTCTCTCGGTGGTTATTATTTCGCTTGCCTCGCGACGAAGACTTGTTATTTCACCGTTTTTTTCAATATCCGACTTTACTACTTAGTTAGCATTTTATAACAATTATTGATGACGAATTATTGACGATATTCCGAATTCCATGCTTCATTTTACATTAAATCATTTCGCGGACTAAAAGTTATAACATTATTTGCGATAAATTTAGATCAAATATTAATTATTTGCGAATTATTTAAAACACCGTACTTATATGACATGCCTTCTTCGAAAATACAAAGTTATATCGCAAAATAATGCATTTTTTGACATTTATTTTGCACTCATGAAAATATTAATTTATTTTTCTAACTCAAGTCGACAATCCTATTTGCCAAGATTGACACAAGTTTGGTCGAGTGCCGGTGGTATTCGAGTCGACGATAAATCAAAATAAGATGCCGCATTTGGTAAAGACAGCTAATCATATTTGGCCGACATATTGCGAGGCATTGTGAAAAACATATTGAGCAATGCCAAGTCCGGACAGATATATAACGATAAAATCGGTAACAGAACATCAAGATTTTGTAATAGAAAATGGATCTCGCGCAGAATAAAGACGGGAAATCCCGTCGTATTGTTGTTTCTCTGCCGTCTCAATCGCTTTACCGATGCCGAAAAGACTAAGTTGCGTTGGTTCATTACGCAATTTCTCTTCCGTCTCTATATTGCTGTTTGATAAGCGCGACATTACCGGTAATTATCACGGCATTTACAAATAGACCATGTTTATAAGTTGATCTCTTACATTCTTTAGTCATTTCACCCGAAGAAGTTGAAACCAGGTGTGTTGACGTCCATCTGTCTCAACACAATTCTATTCCTTATCTACGGTTAATGTACATTGGCCATCCTAGATAAGTTGATAATAGGTTAGTAAATGACGCGTTATGCCTTCCCCATCTGCCTAACAAGAGAGAGAAAAACGGCTGCGAATACCGGAACTCTAACTTCTTTTACCCAAACTTTAATTTTTTACAATCGACGGAATTGACTGCTCTGAAGAGAGCTCGTTTCAATCGCGAAAGCGCTCGACCAATAATTACGACTTTACGTAATTCGTAACTTCGCTTCCGTAACTCGAAATAATTCCGTAATTCCGTAAATCCGTAAATTACGTGCAAGCCTACTTCCTAAACCATAACTAGACCTTGACTATAAATTTGGTTTTAAACGAATAATTAAAAAGAAATTTTTGTCACAATTCTGATGAAAAAATTTGGGTACTCCTGAAGTATGCGCACCAAGATGTCGCACAACCTGAGCACTAACCTGGTACATGACCTGAGTTCAGGTTGTGCGCCATCTCGGTGCGCATACTTCAGGAGGAACAAAATTTGTTTGCTAGTTCATCGCATTTGTTATATAAATATATTATACACCGAAAAATGTGAATATCAAGCATTGAATTTGATTTGTACTTGTGTTATCCATGGGGTATATGTGTCAGGTTAGATTGATTTAGGTTGACAAGTCATTTAACAAAAAATCTTGTGACTTCACTGTTTAGACCTGACATGAGCAAACTACGGCTCGAGAATCATATCAGGCCCATTGGGTGGTTCTATCTTGCCCACCTGATGCTGCTACAATCAAACTAAAACCAAGTTTTGATGTTTTATCTAAAAATAGCTTAATGAATTTGTTGAGATTGGGATTGAATTTAGTTTTGGCACAAGGCTCATAAGTTTTGATGTTTTATCTAAAAATAGCTGAATGATTTTGTTGAGATTGCGTTTATATTTAGTTTTGGCACAAGGCTTATTGTTTTCCACTTTTGAAGCACTGTAAATGAAATTCTGTTCATAAAATGTGAATTTTTACGTTACACTCACCTGGTCCGCCAGTCCAAATGGACAAACTTTTTGGTCCCTGGTCCAAAAACCTTGCTCACATCTGGTCTAGACTCTAGTCTAGAATGACAGTATTTTACATCGACTCTAGGCCGAATGACTAATCCAGTAGATCAGGGCTATTCAATTATTTTTACCAGAAATCTGTAAACAAAACTTCAACATTACTGGGGTCCAGTCGTTACCGAAATTATATTTCGGCAGTCATAAACAAGCACTTCTTCGGCCGATTAATGAAGTATTCGCTAATCAAGATAGCGCTATTCGCATTGTTTATTATGGCGTTACAGTTCTTGTCATATATATAGTCAGATGCAAATATCATAAAATAGCCTTCAAAACTATAGGTCATCTAATAACAGGAAACCTTCACATCCAATGATCCAAAATAAAGAATTTGGTGGTCCGAAGAGAATACTAGGAAGGTCCGGATTCGGACCGCCAGTTGAGTTGCCCTGCAGTAGATTTTGCGAGTTGCGCAGCGGCACAATAAGACATTACAGCAACGCAACTAGAACAACAAAACTAACAACAACAGCAATTGAAATTTAGAGGAGGCCACTCCGTGTCGAACAATAGAGCAATTCTCACGACCTTAAATGAGTTGCTGAAAAGATCGATCCATTGTTTCCCTTTGTGTCCAGTACGTTTTTTCAATAACACGGCAATAAAAAACAACAACAATTCAACAAAACGATCGACATGTACATTTCGTATTCACCAAAGTGACTACAAAAACTGATATGGATAATAGTATGGTACTTCTAGTCGATTTCGCATATGAAATGTCCTCGGATATATCCATTTTTGCTCACTTTCATTATTATCTTGTTCGCTACAAGCATACACGAAAAACAGGCAACACAACGTGAACCGAGAGAGATGATTGTTCCATACACCAGTAACGTTATAATCTATTTCCAGTTCAGTGCCCAGGGTGTTAACTTATAAATTACACCTCGATCGTACAGCTATGATAGGATAACTATCGCAACTTTCACGAAACTGCACGGAACCAGTATTGTTCCATTAATAACAAATAGAAAAAAAAATACTAAACTCACCCAAATAAAATTCAAAACAATCACGAATCTCCAGCCAAACTGACAAACGAAACCATTAGTGGTGGTAACATAAAAGTCTCATTGCGCGCAGAGCATTAGGAGCAGCGCACTACGCATAGTGAGGCGCATTAGTAGCAGCGCATTGGGCACAGTGAAGCCGCATTAGGCATAGATAGTTTATTTTGAAAACTCCATAACAAACATAAATTAAAAATGGAGAATTCTGGAGGACAAGCAAAACCTATGAAAAGTTTAAAACATGAGAAGTATCTCATTTGCCTGCCCATCAGCACGCACACAAAAACACAAGCCCAATTTAAATGCGGCTTGGGCCAAACCTAAACAAAATACACGATAGTATTAAACTTTCGGGCTGATGTACTTTCAACAATTACGTTGATAATGACCAATACCTACAATCTCATGCAAAGATAATGTGGGGAGTGGAATGTAATAAATTTGCGACGATAGTAATACTCATGAAGCCATGAAAGCTTTAAGAAAAACCCCAGCCATGAAAAACTACACTGATTGCTTGATTGCGCATTGCGGAAAAGGTGATAAGTGGTTTAATATATAAACAAACGCAAAAAATCATCGCACTCGATGTCCTCACTTGGGTTATAGTCACTTTGACTTTGGTATCCACTATCAAGTGAATTACAGATTTTTTGTATGAATATGAAAATTGTATAGAAGTTTCCACAACCATTGACTTCCGGAAGATTCTCTCCAGATTTCTTTCTCTTTAAGATTCTCTTTATCGTTGCAAAATTTTGGCGAATACATACTGGGTTACATGTCCAAAACTACCATTTTTATGACCTGTTGCTTAGGTAGCCTACTGATAGCTAATTTTAGGCTAGTCTATCGCAGCGTTTGCTGCGATAACTCCCCAGTAACTTAAATTATATTTTTTATTTAAATTTTTGCATGTTTTTTTTTTTTTTACTGGTTGGAAAAAATAAACTTGACTTGTTTGCGCTATCAATTTTCGATTATTTCAACTAAACTGAAGGTCTTTAGAAAACATAATGCCAATTATTGTATTTGGTTTACACCTATTTTTGAAAACACAACAAGGCCGAGAGCCGAGGCCATTTATCTTTCAGTTTCGTAGCGCACATAAGGTAACTATCTGAAAATGATTTTAAAATGTTACTTAGAAATTTAGTAACAAATATTGCCTTGTTCCCACTTCCAAAAGTTGCACGTTTTACAGAAAAGACGCTTTTACTACAATAAATATGTGTTACCATCTGTCCTATTTTCTCTGCTTTTCCGGTATCATGGGGCAATGAACGCAGACTTCTGCATGACGTAACAACAAATTAGACAGCTGTAGGTGGATCCACCGTGGTCGGATGAACATCAGATTTACTACTGCTCGCTTTTGCGTTGCGTTGGGTAGCCTTTCCATAGTTTTTTTTTTAGTTATTATTAGTTCAGTTATTCTAAGGAGGTGTTGAAAAGTATAAGTAAGATATTAAACACTTGTATATCCTTACCATCAGTGGCGGCGCGTCAATAGGGCCCCGGTTGTTTTTTCGGTATAATAAAAAATATTCGAAAAATACCTCAATATCGGTTGCACAGACTGTCTACACTAGCCATATTCTCTCGACATGGTTCATTTTTCGCTCGCAAAGCCTTCGCCGAACGTCGACGGGGCGACGCCGATTTTGCCCCGGTTGCTCATTGTATATCGTATTCTCTCTTTTATCTTTCACTCGCCGCGTTTGTCTCGTTTGTTTTCTGTTTCTTTTACTAAATCATCGGGGCTAGCCCCGAAATTATGACGACACAATGCCGACGTTTCTTACAACAACGTGTTGACATATTCACGCATTCCTTCTCGTTCGTTGGTTGCTCGAAGAGTTGATAGTTTCCTCGCCTTCGTTTTTGTCGCTTGTTTCGCTATTTGAATCAGTTAGAGACCTTTAGTCCATTTGCTTTCGATTTTCCACATTCCTTTTGAGCTCCTCCCTTCTTTCCGGCTTCGCATTTCTTAGCCTTAAACCTCATAATGAATAAGGTTGATGCACTACTTCGCACTCCGTTTTCGCAGCTGCCGCTGGAACAAAAATTAGAGGTACGTCTTGGGCCTTATCAACCAAAAAATTGTTCACTGGAACAATCCCATGACGGAGGAAAGCGTCGGCGTACACTCTGCGCAGAAACTTGGTATAAAAAACACGAATGGTTGTGTTACAGCGAGGACAGCGTTGGTGTAAATTTGGTTTTAGAGATCTTAAACATCTTTCCGAGCGTGTCAGGTTTCATCAATCTTCTATGGAGCATCTGGACTATGCAGTAAAATACCGAACATTCGGAAATGTTAATATTGCAGCACAGTTGGATGAAGGACGCGCGGTTTCTATTCGTCGGCACAACCAAAACGTCGAGAAAAACCGCCATGTTCTCGGTCGATTGATAGATGTTTTGAAGTTCATTGGTTGTCACGAGCTGTCCCTCCGTGGGCACGATGAACGGGCTGGCTCTTCTAATAGAGGGGTATTTTTGGATATGGTGGAATACACCGCATCCCTAGATACAGTATTGAGAGATCATCTTGATGCCGCAACTGTTTCGAAAGGGACATCTAAGGATATCCAAAATGATTTGCTCGACTCAATGTATAAAATTTATTTACAACATTTGGCTCTGGAAATTGAGAATTGCCAGTTCCTTTCGATTCAGTCTGACGAGACAACTGACATCACGTGCGTTTCCCAACTGGCTGTGATTTTTCGGTTTGTGAAAGATGGTAAACCTACCGGGAGATTTCACAGCTTTGTACCAATCGTTGATCGCACGGCTTGCGGGATATCGGCTGTACTGAAAGAAGTGTTACAGCCTTACAACGCGAAGTCGAAATTGATAGCTCAAACTTATGACGGCGCGGCAGTCATGAGTGGGTCGAAACATGGTGTTCAAGTTTATATAAAAGAAGATTTTCCTCATGCGCATTTTTTACATTGTTATGCACACCAATTTAACCTCGTTATTAAAAATATGTGTCTTGATACCCCTCTCGTCCGTATATTTTTTGCAAATGTTTCGGGGTTTTCTTTTTTCCGTTTCGCCGAAGCGCTCTGACCTCCTTCGCCAGATATGTAGCCGCCGTCTCCCAGCTTGTGCACCAACACGTTGGAACTTCCAATCACGCGTGGTGCAGGGCGTGTCCGAAATTGGGTCTGAGCTCATTGAGTGTTTCAATGGCATTCAGAGCTCTCCGGTTTGGGACGAACGCTCTGTGAGGGAGGCGGCAGGTCTAAAGCGTCTGCTAGAAGATGGTGAGTTTTCATTTTTTCTCCACAATATTCTATCACGTGGATGTATTATACGGCGCATTGCAGTCAAGGC